AAGTAATGTTTTTTACTCATCATTGATGATGATAATTATATGAGGTGTTGTGTGTGCAAAACTTATGCTTAAAAAACTTCTGTCAAAGTTTTAAAACATTCTGTATAGTCATCTACATGTATTATGATACACAAAACAGTTCAGTGTATTATTTTCACCATTTTCCAGTTTTACACACCCACACACACGCAAGCACACTTTTGCTTCTTAAAAGATTAGTGTGACACATTAGGTTGGAAATCACTATGAAAACACTCCATAATGCAAAAAATGCAAATTTACATAAAAAAAATTTGCAGGACCAGCCACAAATACTTGAGGAATTGGTAACACTTACTACATGTAGTCTCTCCTCGACTTACGACATATTCGACTTACGACAACCCAGACATACGACGGCCCTGTCTCCTCCTCTGCTTCATCCAATTAATGTAGTCTCCATGCTTAATTAAAAAATTATTGAGAACCCGTGTGCATTCAGCTGACTACATTAAAGGTAAGTGCACAGAAACCCTTTATTCATTTTTCATTATTGATTACTTTTACTGTACTGGATTTCATTTTAGAATTTCTATGTATTATTTTCGCCTTTTCAACTTACGGACGGAACCCCGTCGTAAGTCGAGGAGAGACTGTATATTACGATTCCAGAAATAACAAATATCAAGTACCTACTGTACAGTAGAATAGTTCTTTTAAGGTGACCAGTTCCAGGCCTCTCAATCTACTGCAACATCCTTATCTTGATTCATTCACAATCCTTATTCAATATACCTTTCACTTAGCAAACTACGTACTGGAAACAGAGAGAATGTGTCACTGTATTCAACCTCAACCTCGGTACCAATAAAGGTCTCTTAACCCTTAAATGACTACCCTGCCGATCGATGTTTGGCGTGGCCTCGCAGGTTTTAAATTGTGTGCCATTTTTTAAACTGGCAAAACAAATCCTAACGTTTAATAATTGCGGGAAAATGATTTGTGGCAACTCTAGGCCTCCCAACTGCCTCCAGGCAAATATTCTCCCCCCCCCCACACCAATGTACTGTACTGTACTGTAACTCAGTTGCCCAGTGACAGAGATGTGGTACTCATGTCCCAGTGTATCCCCAACCCAGCCCAGGTGTTACCCCCATCATATCAGGCACCACTCACCAGGACCAATCTTTGTACCAGTGAACTCCTAAAAGTACCTACCATCTTCTTTTTTTTTCCGTTTTGAGGGTTGCCAGAAGGAGTGAAGCGGTTCATCTATGATGGTCCATTACATCACTTAGATGGCCCATATAGGACTTTGTCTTGCATTTCCACACTCCATAAACTATTGCCAAGGGGAGGGGAAGGCGAGGGGTGGGAGTAAACAAGCTTGTCGATTTGTGTAATTACAGAGTTAACATCTTTTCCACGGATAAGACTTTCTTTAAAAAAATTTCCTTTCCTTCCTTTAAAGTGATATCAGATGTTCATAATAAGGTTAAACAGGTTGTCTGCAACAATGTAAATCATACATATCAGTCACCAACGCCAAATTAACCAATATATTTGAGGTTAATATTTCCAATAATCTTCATTACTTTGTCAATTTTCTCATCTTAGTTATCAGACAGTCAATATAGAAATAGTCAGGCATCCACAGCAGTTTAATAAACTGCCATGGATGAACCTTAAGCCACAGCTATATTGTTTTAAGTGTACAAGCTAAGCATTTTCAATGTCAAATTGCATGTCAAAAACCTAAATTATTTCCACAAAGTACAAGTAGAAATGGAAGATTGATCCTGGAAATCCCATTTTATGACAGAACCTGGAGTAAGTAATCACACGCAGTCCACCAACACTACAGGATTAAAACCCAAGAAATCCCTCTACAACAGTGGGTGAAACTGATTCATTAATTAATTATACCTGTACACTTACTCCAAAGAGTATCTTTATGATTTTGTGTGAGACATTATGACCTCAAGTTACAATTGCTACTTCCAGATTATCATTTTAAGTGCTTCAGTTTCAATGGGAAGATATGAACAACCAATGAATTAGTTGCAGATCCCTTGTCTTGGTGCTTCCTTGGTTTTAATCCAATAGATGTAAGGTCATATTATTATCAAGTCAACCATCTCTCAAGTCCCTTCTCCACCACGATGTACTGTATTTGTTATTGGGTAGAGTTCAGCCTCCTTAAGATGCTTCACCTGTCTTAGGCCTTTAGTTCTTGCTGAAGCTGGTGATCAACTTCACTTGTTCCTTCAAATTGTAGTTCTTACTTCTGTAGTTTCCAATTTTTGTAAAAGAAGGAAAGTGGATCCTAATGTTCTTCAGTTTCCAGTCACTTTTGGTTTTCTTGAATTAATTTGAAAATTAGGCATTTCAAAAGTTTCTGGGTACAGTACAATGGTAGTCTAAAGAAATGTTCCATCCTTGTTCACAATTACTTAAACTCCATTTTTGGAGGATTATTCAGACAATTCAACTTTTATAACTTGTAAAGCACACAAAACTCTTCCTTCGCAAGGTAGTAATTGTGTGGAACAAATTCTTAAGAGTTCCCAAGAGACAAGACAGATTTTTTGCCAGATGCAGAAGAGAGCCTTAGTTTTGTTATTAAATGTTGTAAATATTACAACATAGTATTCTTTATGGTGTACAGTAACTGTATCACACGACTAAGACTTCACTCAACATGTGACACTTGAGACATTTTGTTCTACCAACTTCTTAAAGAAGAAGATAAAATTATAATTAATGATCAAGGACACATGACAGAAGGGTGTGTTCTGACTGGCCTTAAATTACTTCTCATTTGTACCTATAAACAAATATATTCCAGATAGTCTGGTCTGTAAGATAGACAGAAAATCTCAATAAAGTACTTCTGTACAGCACAACAGTTCTGGAATCTTGACACTTCTCGCTATGTGCTTGTATCCACAATATGGCCCTTGTGTTACAAAACATAAGTTTTTCTATATCATATCTTTCCACTTTGCATGGGCAGCCTTGACTGTAGGACAGTACAGTACCCTCCAACCCACCTCTCTATCGGTGTCTTGCATCCTTCTTCTATTCTGAGGCTCCTATATATTGGTGTGAGGTCAGGTTGGCAGAGGCTGGGACCTGTACATGGGAAGTTCACTGTCCCCATTTTCTTTAGCTTTTTGGAATTTTCCATAAGGGATTTCTGGTCCAAACTGTACTTGGGACAAACAAGAGGCATCAGTGTACAGACAAGGCTGACTATGTTAGAGAGAAAAAGATCTATTATAAAGCTGTTAATTAAAAAGAATAATACTGAGAAGAATGTTAGTTTTTGTTATTCTATATATTACTTTTCGTATTAGAGTTATGTAATGTCACAGCCATGAGCAGGGCGCTGAACAGATTACCCAGGATACACTAATATTAATTAATTCCAAAGCTTTTACAGAGCCATTCTCAAGAGTGTAACCAATGACGGTCTACGTGCAGTTATGAACCGCTTACCTTTACTGTAATTAATTATATCAAAGGAGAACTCTATCATATATGTAATCAACTTCTACTGGTTGCCATGAAGAAACATTATTACATTGTCTGAACATTGGGCATCAATACCCTGAGTAGTGAAATAACTGTAAGGATCGCTGTGATGAATGAAGAATAAGATCATCTTCATTATACATCACAATCATCCTTGTTCTTGTTCTAAATATATAACACAGGCCAATGCAGTAAGAGACAATCCACACAATCTACTATAATATACCAGGTACTGTATCTACACTACAGCAGGCACACGGTAACCCATAATGCGACAGTGCAAACAGGACATAAATAATTCTAAGAACTAAAAAGGGTCATACCTAATTTTATTCATCAGGTTGTAGGAGTTTTCAAAATCAATATTACACAAAAAAAGAGGACTAAAGTATACAGTAAGAATGGATGAATTCAGGACAACATAAAAATACAAAGCTATTGATAATCTTTAACACACAGACATACCAAAAAGCACCATGACTAGTTTTTAAAACAATACACATATATAAAAGAAAAAAACAAAATCAGGAAAAAATACATGCACTACAGATGTCTCCACAGTCAACAAGCACTCAGATCTCCCAGCTTCATATACAGTAGTCAGTAAAAAATTAAAGAGTTACTTTTGTCACTTTTGCCATTTAAATTCTCCATGAAGTAATAGAAAACTTAAAATGAAAGACTCTAATGCTGTCACAATAAACTGAATAAGAATCTCAACATAGGATAAAACATATATTCTGTCAAATGCTAAAACTGTTCATAATGCCAAATAATAACTACTGTATTTTACTGTACTGTATTAGTGGATCAAGTAGTGACATCTTATCATATATAACTTTGTACCTGTAAGAGATTTTATACTGTACAGTACTAGACCATAATGACTACAGTAATAATAATTATGGTCTACCATTAGAGGTATTAAAGTCAAGTACAAATTTTTATAATCTCACAGAAGCTGGAATATCTTCTGACTCTGTATCTTCAATAACTACTTTTACTGATGATGCATAACTGTTTGTGTGTGTCTTATGATTATTATGGCTGTTGTGGAGACAAATGTTTTGAAGACCATTCTTGTCTTCACCCGTGTCATCTCTTGTCTCAGTGAGCTGACATGTGTTATCTATATGTGTTGTATCATGACAGTGGTTTGAAGTGCCTCTTCCATCACCACTTGTACTAACCCTTGTGATGGGAGAGACCTGAAAATGTGATTCCATAGCAGAAACTGGGGAAATCTGAGTACAGGTACAAGCTTGGGGTTTTTGACTATCACCAACACCATTCCCAACAGAAGCAGTAAATGTAACATGACGGGGAATCCACTGAGGTGAACATGCAGGAACAGAAGCTTCTGAGGCATTGGGAAGGTTGCTGGCTATTTCCTGCTGAAGAGATAATTCACTGAAAGCGGGAGAGGACACTCCATTTTCCTTGATGCCATTGAACGAAAGCTCCTCTTTAGAATCAGTCTTTACCTGTTTGGAGAGCCCACAGCAAGTGTTTGCCACACACCCATCTTTATCCTTTGATGGACAATCTAGAATGCAGTCTTCAGCTGAGTCAATAGAAGCAGATGCTCCATCATCCTCAAACTCAACAAACTCTGGCTGTATAGTTGTGGAATGGATACCTTCTTCATGAAACATTTTCTTGATCTTCTCTGCTAGGACCATGTAATCCTTCAGGTTGCGACATCTAAATACAAAATATAAAAACAAAGAATACAGTTCTGTACTCATCACCATAAACACAGTTTAAGATCCTCATCTATACCAAATCTTTTATCATACTTATACACCTAATAAAGACCCTTAAATAATAAGATAATTCTGATATAAAGCTTCCTCCTAGAATTTCTATTGCTTATTGCTTACAAATAAAATTGAATCTACAATTCAAAAGTGTCCTATTTATCCATGTTTGTGTAGATCAGCCAATGGTGTACATTTATTCTTGAAATCTTTAATGAATAAACTACTGTACAAGTTAGTTCTGATATCAGAAATGCAAAGAAGGAACTGCAGACTTGTGCTTAGTAAAGAGTTTGTAAAAGAAGAAATGAAGGGGCTGTGTTGTCAAGTACTGTACTGTACTGTACTGTACTAACATAGATATAAGTGAAAGGTGGGAAGTAAATAATGTACTGTACTCTGATCATCATACAAGTTATCAAAATAAATTATTTTTCTTAAAACTTCTGCATCTATAGTTTGATATTGCTGATAAGAGCAAATACCCGGTACTTACATATAAATGACCACGACAGATTAAAATTAATAAAACAATAAAAAACCATGGAATAAAACAATATACCTGATGTGAGCAGAAGCAATAATCCTCTCTCCTGCCAACTGCCAAACATGGAACTCATGGACAGCAAGAACACCATCAACATTCAACAGCTGCTTCTGTATGCCATCAACCTGAAAGGATGAAAAGAACAAAATCAAGTTTTTATTTTAAAAGAAAAACACCATAAAACTTCCACTAATGTTAGCATGTTTCACCTACAATCTGCAAAAAGTCTCCCATTCCCACCTTCATTTCTTATATTATTCCATCCATAATGATCCTAGCATGACCTCACACACCCCTGGTCATTTTTCATCATGAAAACTCTCACCATCACATATAAGGTCAACATTTCCAACAGGACTTTTCTATTACCCTTTCCTACTTTTTCAAAATGCAAGATTAACACACCTGTATCCCTTCTTTCCTATAACTTCCCGGTTCATCACTACTTATGCTTGACACCTTATAGAGTATAGACGCACGTTAGATTCGTGACCATATATTATCACACATTATTCTAATTACAATAAACACTGAAGCTCACCTGAATGTGTGTAGGAACTGTCTGTAGGAGGATGAGAGCAGACACCTTTAAGAGAGGCCAGGTACTGATGGTTATGAGGGTGACCAGACACAGTGATAATGCTGGGTCAATGTATTTGGAGTACTCCCACTCGGTCAGCCACACAACCAGCGCACTGATGATCACAATAACTGAACCTGTGGAGAGAGAGATAACAACATGAAATAAATTACACCGTAATTCTAAATTCTAAACAGTTTTATGGTATATATCTTGAGAAGTCATTCATTTTCCAGTGTATGATGCTTGTATCAGATGAAAAAAATAGAGAGATGCAAGAAATTGTATAAATAAATGGAAAATAGAATTAGGCAATAAAAGTAATCATTGAAGGACGCTGCAGTGTACCTAGTACATGTTTAAGAGTGAGTGACAGTCACTGAGAGAGACTGTATATATGAACAGGATCACGGGAAAGGAACCAAACACTTCTAGAATGACCTACACAGCATGAATGATATCTTAATTATCACTTATGGTTTCAGTCTAATATTTTTCTCATAACTCACCCATAGCATCTGACAGGATATGAAGGAAGACGCCTCTCATGTTCATCTGGGAGGCACTTTTGTTATTGTCTTCTCCTTTCTCTGGACTAGAGAGGGAGTTGGGGGGTGGAGGGGTGAATCTTTCATCATTTTCATTGTCATCCGTGGCTACCAGAGCGTTGATAGTAGAAAGCTTGTTTTCGTGACTACCGTGGCTATGGCCGTGTCCACCGTGGCTATGGCCGTGTCCATGTTCTGCAGAGAGGTGTGGTTTAATTATACAGCTCATACACAATACGACAAGTACTTAGACATTACCTATAACGTCAACACTTGTATATCTGTCATTACTAAGGGTCTCTCTTTGGTAAGCAATCAGCATAATTGTTTAAGTTTGAACAAATAAGAAAATCGTGATGCAGTCTGATATAAATATTAGAATTTGCTATCGCACGCACGCACGCACGCACGCACGCACGCACGCACGCACGCACGCACGCACGCACGCACGCACGCACGCACGCACGCACGCACGCACGCACGCACACACACACACACACACACACACACACACACACACACACACACACACACACACACACACACACACACACACACACACACACACACACACACACACACTTACACTTACCATGAAAAAGCAAGAGGCCTATTAAGTTGATGACCAATCCTATTACCCCAACAATTAGGATCATTTGGGGGTTGTGAAGTTCCTCTGTTTCATATAATCTGAAATTTGAAGGAATTATATTATATGTTGATCCTCATACCAATTACTGTTTTCAAAATGTACAGTAGCTAAAACAACTATGTGTGCATACTTTGTGGGAAACAATATGAGACCATGGACGATAAATTTTGGTATATGAGTGCTGTCACTAGTTACACGTAAAATTTCGGAGCATACTGTATCTGCACAGATAGTTGTTTTAGCTAATGTACATACAGGGTATATACTGTACAGTATGCTATATATCTCTACAGGTCAGTATTCGACACAAGTAGCTGTAGAGAGATCACTATTTGTAGATCATGTAATTATTTAAATACTATATAGCAAAAGAAAAAATCTATTCATAGTATAGAGTGAAACCTCTATTTAACGGACTATATGGCGATAAAGTGAATTATATTGAAGGTTCTTTTGGTGTGAAACCTCCATCTAACGAATTATTGAGATGAATCTGTTATATCGAGTGTCCGTTAGATGTGAAACCCCCATCTAATGGATTATATTGCGAGGGGAGTCCGTTATATGGAAGTTTCACTTGCAATTATTTTTCCTCACCTTTTTAATGACTCCACAAATATAGAGAAGCAAAGTGCAAGAAGAAACACGCTGTTGACGAGGGCGCCCAAGACCTCAGCTCTCGCCCAACCAAATGTGTTTTTACTCCATTTTTTTGGAGACATCTGGAAAGGCAAAAGATTCATCCGTCGTTAAATAGTACAGCAACAACACAGGTTTACATATAAGTTATAATCTTAGAATTATAGAAACAGTTTATATAAAATAATCATGATTGACTAAGCCAAGACCACAAAGGACCAGTTAATTAAGCGAGCCACACACACTACGCACACCATATTAGCTAGACGTGCTATGTCGCCCTCATACCAGAAGACAACACGTACAGTACAGTATCTCAACTTCTCAAGCTATCCTCTCACGCTCAGTAACGTTCCATCTGTCAAGATGGACAGTTGTGCGCTGTGGTGAGATGGTGATTCAGGTGAGGAAATTCCACAGCAGACAGTGAGATTACCCAAGAAAAGGAGGAAATAGGTACACAGAACAAATATGAAAAGACAAACATTTAGCGAGTATACTATCATTTAGTACAGGAGGTTTCCCTTGATCAGCACAAATTCAAACAATTCTTATATTATCCCACGCTTAGATCAAAGACGTTTCTGTTATTAACTGAAAATTATATCAAGAAACTGGATACACACTACAGAAAGTCTGCATCACCCCCAAAAGGCTTGCCATTGCCTAAACGCTAAGTAAAAACCCAACATACACTGCTAGGAAAACTTTATTAAATCTAGATTAGTAATTTTTTCATTATGAAAATAATCAAGTAATTCTTAACTAAACATAAACGTGTATGAAAATTTTTTAAAACCTGATATGGCAATATTATTTAACCTAAATTGGCCTTGAAGTCAGAATGAGTGAGAGGATATGTTCTACTGAGCGTGAGCCAGCAAAGGTGTGCTCGGAAAAATAGTTCGTCAGGCAATCTGAAGCCCAGTAACGTGGCGTACCTGACGTAGCTTCCGGTGTGTGAGTTACCTAATTAAATAACCACAGCAACAATTCAAAGACACGTAGCGCATATACATAGCGTGGCTCACTTAGCTTCTGATGTGAGACAGCCTTTTTTAATCCTGTATTTCAGATCTTCCTACAGTATAACTAATCACAGTACTGTACAGTATATGCAACCAATAGGAACATAAGGAACGCTAAAATCTGAGTAAACAAGTCAGACCAGAACTACTTATTTCATACAACATTATAACCCGTGCAGGAAAGAACTAGGCTACGGACAAAAAATATGTCGGAAAAGGTAAGAAAATAAGGAAGCATAAGGCAGCAGATCCATACCTTGACACTTAAGAAAGCTATAATAAGCGCCAGAACATCACTGAGCATGTGAAAACTGTCAGCCACCAGCGCCATGGAGTTGGTTATGTACCCGACTATCAGCTCCACCAGGAAGAAGGACGCTGTCATACTGAACATTGTCAGGAGCCGACACTTCTTGCCTGAGGAGAGGCGCTGTTTCGACACCTGTGACTATCCTCTTGCCTGACACACCTCAATCACAGTCACGCCTCCACAATCACATCCTACCCGACTCTTACTAGACGCCAGGAAAACAAAGATAAAATTACCCCAACACTACGATTCTCCTTCGCTACCTGTATTGTACCCCCACAGCCTACGACACGGTGAGGAGACAAGACAACAAGAGGGAGCTTTTATATCTGTGGGATGCAAGAGGCTTAAGTTGATGGGACCTGACTCCTAAGATTGACGTTACCACCCCGAAATTCCATCTCAATCATAGCTTCATTCCGAAATGCTTTTGAATATCAATCTTCAGTGTGTCACATGAACACTTCTTGGCAACACCATCTTCTCTCTCTCTTTCATGTCCCTAAAAGTAAGAATGCGGCCACATCAAGGTGTCGGAGTCCTCTTAAACAGGAAAGTGACACCTTTTCTTAAAAACTAAAATGTCAAGTGTACTGGATACCGGAAACGTGAACTCCTGAGTCAACATGTGACAGGAAGATGGCTGGTTCACACACACACTCTGTCATGTAAAAATATACCGTATGGGTTAAGTGTTAACGACGACAATATAATCATTAAAATAATTATCACTGGGAGGTAAGTGTGAGGCTCCCAGGCGTAAGAACACTGGATCACCAGACTTGTGATCAATGATGTTTATAACTAACTCAACAGATTCCTTGGCACACATTTAATAAATAATTCTCACAACACGAGTCTCATGAGCACATGGCGTATGGTGAAACTTTATGTGATTAATCCCGATAAAACATTGCCACACTCCTTATGATATGATAAGCTCACCTTGGACTTGTGACTAGAAGAACAAGACGTTCACTGCGGTACTTGAACACTCACAACTATAAAGAGACTCGGTATTATCTTCACTCAGATAAAAGACTAAAAAACTGGCTTGATCGTCAACGCAAAATAAACTTGACGCAAGTTACGCTTTCGACGCCTAGGGTGAAGCGAGACAATGTGGCGTAAGGTTGAGTGTGTAGCCAGCGAGGGAGGACGGTGTGTGTTGGAAGGCGGGACAAGGAGTAATGTGTGGCAAGAGCCTTCGCACTGTTATATGTGGCCGCGTCGCCAGCAGTGCACCCGGCACCACCACCCCTAGCTCACCAGGCACTCAATCCGTTCGAGCCCGACACACACACACACACACACACACACTTGCATATCAATAATCTACCGCCTTGTTCAACACGGAAACAAACCTTTCGCCTCTATTATGTAATGATGTCAGGTATTGTCAGCAGATAAAAACACAACAAAAACAATTAATAGTTAAGCTTTGTGTAGCTTTTATGTAGTTATACAGAAATACATGTATGAATATTCCCGCCCATTTAATGATGGTAAACCTTTCACTAATCTCTGGTCGGTAAACAAGTTTGTATTTTCCTTCCTGGTGATTCCTCACCTCACAACTTCCAGCTCACCGCCACCACCCCCTCCTCCTCAAACACATGTGGCTATAACATAACATCCTCATAAGTCAGGCTCCTCACCACACACACACCATCCGTCAAATTTCAGTCCCTAACCTCTCTCTCTCACTGTGGCCCGCATCTTCACCATAAATCACCATTCCTGGATCTCCCGAGTCGTCCCACACTTTCCCACAACCCGTGATGTATGAATACTCTATAGTCTCATTCCTTACAGCCCGTGCAGCAACACAACACCACGACAAGGTGCAGTACAGAGTGTGGTCTGGCCTGCCTGTGGCTCCTCACAACTCATCCTCAGCAGTTCTGGGAGACTCGCGCCCCATCATGTATTACCACTGGAAAATATATGTAGACATTTGAATTTAGTGAAGACTTCATCGAATTAATAAAAATTAACAATGTAAATCCAGGGAACTGAATTTACAATTTTCGCTGTACAAGTGTCACCACATTTGTTGATTGCGTTAGTGCGGTGGACAAGTTTCACAACTCTGCAACAGCTTTAGGGACGTTACTGCTTCTTCGAAAGGAGATCGAGTAATCTTCAATGCCACGCACAAGCTGTACGTACAAAGTTTCCTGCTACCTCCTGCAGCTGTGGGAGGGACAGTCCTGTTATGAAACATCAAAAATTCGTTGCGATATTGCATCACTCTGGTCATGCTGTACACAGAGGTTCTCTGATGAATGGCCTCAGATCGTCGTGTTCTCTAGAAACCTTACACAGTTAGCAGTAGTTCAGCGCAGTACTATGCGTCAGTCCTCAACAGCTTCCCGTGTTCGTCAGTTTCCGGAGGCGTCACGGTGGTTTTCTCTCAACTCATGTCAACGTTGATCGTATTGCTCTGTAACACGCCTCAGCTCTCACGCCTCATTAATCTGTCTGTTTTAAGTTGATATAAAAACATCAATCAGTTCAGGTTTGGTTACTCCCGTCATGAACACTTTTATAAGGATCGAAAAAGTGCTGGTAATGGCAGCTTATGGACAACTCACCATCCACATAACTCACCATCCACACAGCCCACCATCCACATAACTCACCATCCACACAGCCCACCATCCACATAACTCTCCTAAGTGTCAACATTTCCCAACTTTGACACGAGTAAAAGATTGTTGAACATCAGGCAGCTGAATCAGGAGTTAGGCGACAATCTCACACCCGTGAAATGAAAACAAAGTCGGGGTGAGAATGTTTGGTCACCGAGGGTTACGTCCCAGTCATCTCGCACTCGGAAAACCTCGTTAACAAGGCTTAATTACTGTACATATTTAAAGACAACAGCTGAGGCGCACTCGTACTTGACCTTCAATCTCCAACGAGGGGGGCCGGTGGTAGAAGCGGCCTTCTTGCCTCGCAAACAAGATGTCACGGGTTCGATTCCCGGGCCGGTGGAAGTTGTTTGGACATACTTCCTAGCCCCCATTAGTCCCTGTTCACCTAGCAGTAAAGTAGGTACCTGGTGTAAGTCGAAAGTTGCGAATTCGTATTCAGGGACAAGTTGTTGGAGCTTCCAATAACTTGATGACATAAAACCATTGACTCTTCAGGCTTCTACGCCCTTAACTCATGAGACATAAAGGCAAGCATGAACTTAGCATGCTTCCCTGTTGGGCGCTGTAAACGTTTCTGCTCTTCACCTTACACAAGGATGTAGGGGAGTGCCCAATAAAAAAAAAAATCTCCAGAGATAACATAAAGGAGCAAGAGGACAACTGATCAGAATAAGATAATGGATGTTTCCACTCGTATTGGAGACTAATACTCTGAGGAAGCTACAGGGAGAATGAGGCTACAGGGAGAATGAGGCTACAGGGAGAATGAGGCTACAGGGAGAATGAGGCTACAGGGAGAATGAGGCTACAGGGAGAATGAGGCTACAGGGAGAATGAGGCTACAGGGTGAGGCTACAGGGAGAATGAGGCTACAGGGAGAATGAGGCTACAGGGAGAATGAGGCTACAGGGAGAATGAGGCTACAGGGAGAATGAGGCTACAGGAGAATGAGGCTACAGGGAGAATGAGGCTACAGAGAATGACAAGGAGGCTATGAAGGGAGAATGAGGCTACAGGGAAGGGCTACAGGGAGAATGAGGCTACAGGGAGAATAGGCTACAGGAGGAGGCTAAGGAGAATGAGGCTACTGTAATGAATTACAAGAATGATACATAGGCTACAGGGTGAATACCATAAGAGGCGTCAATACACCTCATAAGAGAGCCGTACAATGGCCTCCATACCCTACGTCACCTGTCTCACTGAACACATTGCGATACTTCTCAAAGGCACACTACGTCTGCTTAGAGAGAGAGAGAGAGAGAGAGAGAGAGAGAGAGAGAGAGAGAGAGAGAGAGAGAGAGAGAGAGAGCACTGCGCCTCTTCACCACAGATAGATGATGCACCCAGGAAAAAAAAAAGACAAGATATAAATAAATGTTTGGTGGGCGGGTAAAATATCTTGTGTTTCTCCAACCTTCTGTCTCTATCTCTTATGTGTTTTTAGTTTTGCTACACTCGATGGACCACAATCATCTCCAGGTCATATACATTAAAACAAACATAAACAAACACATTATAAGGTCAGTCACCAACCAATGAAAACCAGAAGACTTCACGCTATATTCTGACAGTTTGTACATCCACGTGTTTATTTCATTCTCTTACAAATCCCACTAAAGAATGTCGAGTCGATAGTTTTAACTTTTTTATCACTTAATTCACAGTTGATCCCATATATTTGATAACAGTCACGAGTACACTGTGAGGGTACGAGGTGTAAAAAAAAAGCCTTTATCAAAACGTATATAAAGATAGTTTATCACCCAGATCAAATATCAACGCCATTATTATCAACTGTAATCAATATTTATAATGTGCCAACAACTTATAATGGCTGTCACGGGTTATTGCTGAACTATCACACGAAGTTGGTCAGTTTCCGCTAAACTTAGGAACTAATTATCATACAGATTATATACCTCAGTTATCACTGTCTTAGTGATAAATAAAAATGAAATAATGTGGAACAGGTGAGACAACCTCGGGTACCCCCCAGGAAGATGGATAATTTGCTCTCAACTATTAAGTACACTGTAAAGCCTGGCACTATGGTGTATATTGCTGAGAAAAATGAAATACTGAGAAATAGGTGAGGGATGATGGGTGAGGAGGAAGGGCACGAATATACCCTTCAAATACCATGAGCAAGGCTGACCCATTGGTCCAACACCTTTCACTAACACAAACTACGCACCAGCAGCCGCACCAACATTTCCCTCTGATTCATCTCTGACACACAAATGCTTTTATCAGTTCACAACCACAACTGCTAGGGAGAGGTGATTAACAGTCAGCTCACCTATGGTCGACCCTCGGAAAGAGAAAACCCTACAGACAACATCCGCTGGGTCTCTTCCGTGCCTAGATAAGACACACGCCTCTAGCATAATACCCATACATTCTCTGACGTCAAACACTTCTCTAATCAATACCTACATTTCGTGC